ATGGGAGCTCTTTTTCCTGTCTCATCCCACTCCCATACCCTCCTTATTCATACCCACACACCTGGCAGCCAACCATCTGCTTCTTTGGGTTCATCACAGTATGCTATGGGATGGACATGGCCACAGGTAGACAGAGGTGCTTGCAGGAGGTTCAGAGACAGTAATCAGAGTTGAAGGAAAATCCTGTAGGTACATCTGATGGATTCATGCCAGTAAGTCCCCAGGTGCTCTTAGACAATACAGCCTGAGGGTGCCTGAAATAGCCCTAATGCTTGATCTACAAGGGCACCTTCAGGCCCATTTAGTGAGCAGAGGCTCTGCTGGAGTCAGGGGACAAAACCTACCAGCTAGTGCATATTTCTCATGCTATGTTTCCTGCAGACACACTCACAGCCCAAACTCAACAGGTGAAATCATGATGCTGTGCAGGGTGGATGATGAGGACTGTGACCATCACATTGCAGTGGCACTCAGGTCCTGCCTCCCCACTCCCATCAGACAGCTTGTGAATGATGAACCCTGAGATTCACCCACATGGTTAGAGCATTGTACTAATGACACCCAAGGCTGTGCGTTTGAGGGTTTGATTCCTGTATGGGTCATTCACTTAAGAGTTGGACTTGATGATCCTTGTGGATCTTCCCTTCCAACTCACAATATTCTGATTGTGTGACCAAAGTGTGGGTATTTGGGGGATTTTCTTTCTTTTCTTTTTTTTTCCCCTTACAATGAGTTTGTAAAGACACCTCAATCCTGATTTTGGATCCTGCGAAGCTTCTGTCTTCAGCATATGCCATGAATATGCTTTGGATGCACGTGTTGTCACTCCAGCCTCAGAGATTCGGACTGAATGCAAGACCCCTCTGCTCTGCCCTGCTTTCACACCTGCCTAGCTTGGCTTTTTTCATTCATCTTCTCTTTTCCTCCAGAACAGCTCCAGCCTAGTATGTTTCAAGAGTAGCAGGCAGCAAGGGAGATGTGTGGCTGGCATGTAGCTTCTCACCAACACGGCATTGAGAATGCATTACAGAATTTTCAGCCAAGGATGAGCAAAGTCATGTTCAGTTGCCCTGATGTTTAACCTCTTTTTAGGACTGTCCCTATACAGAAAAAAAAAAAATTGTTTTAAATCATCTATCTCCGAGTCCTTTTGTCTAAAATAATTCCAGCCAGTGCTTCAGTGCTAAACCCACTCATGCCTGGGCAGCCCAAGTCGGCTCCTGCAATGGAAATCCCCTTTCCTTTTTCGCTACTTCTTTTTGCCTGCGGCAAAGTCACCTGTCTTTTGCAGATTCCCCCAAAATCCCCGAAATCTCAGCCGCCACCCAGATCACTGCAGCCGTGCAATTCCAGCTCTCTGCAGCCGTGCCTGATGGCCATGGCACCACTGGGCTGGAGGGGACCTGGGTCACGGCCAGCCTGCTCTCTGAGGAGGATGCTGAGCGAAGGGCTGGGAGGGATTTGTCGCTGATGATATTGTTACATTCTTTCCGAATCCTGGGAGTAAACAGACGCTCCAAATTTAGAAAGAACAGGACTGGAAAATTTAAACATTCCTTGAAGAATTGGTACAAAAGCGGGGGGAGGGGGGGGTGCTGAAGATGATCTCACACGCGCTCCCGAGCCAGATGAAAAGCTCATGACTCGAGCTCAGAACGCAATTGAGGGGCCTGTTTCAGGTCGGAGCACGGTATGGCAGCGGTGAAGCTCCCCCAGCACACGGAACTGCAGAGAAAAGAGCCTCTGTCCTGCAAGGGGGATCCCAAGCCCCACAGTCCAGGCCGGAGAGAGAGAGAGCCCCGGGCTCAGCCTAAGGACCAGAGGTAGGGACAGGATGAGCGACTGAGCATCATCTGGACCAGCAGCCCAAGCCCTCAGCTCTCGCTTTTAGGCACTGAATAGGACTAAAAGAAAATCTCCACACTGCCCGCTGCAGCTGGACAAATGGAGAGGAGCTGGTGAAGCTCAGCACCCAGCACACACAGCTCTGGACAGGCTCCAATACCAGAGCTGGCACATGGGAGCTGTCAGGGAGCAATGGAGCCAGACTGCTGCTGCTGCTTCATAAGCAGATAATGCTTCTCGATAAAAACCAACCGGGTGATTGCAAAGGGGAAGAATAACGGAAGAAAAATAAAGCAAAATTAAAAAAAAAAAAAAAAGGCAAAAAAAAAGAAAGAACAGTCAGGCTCCTGCAGGAATAGCAGAGTTGGGCTGGGAGGGAGGGGGCATTACGTAATGCAGGAAAAATGTTGGCTCCATTCAGTTTTCCACCACTTCATGTGATGTCAGGAAAACCATATAAATCAACAGTCTTTCTGCTCCCACGGATGGAGGGCAGCAAGCAGCACTATTTATACTTACACAATTAAAAAAAAAAAAGAAAAAAAGAAGAGAAGCTGATGATTTCCAAGACTAGGAATAATTGACTCAGATTCTTCCCTGCCAGCCACTGGAATCGCTGCTTCTGAGCTGTTAACCCTTGAGGAGTCCCTGGTACCAGTCCTGCCACCCCCAGCTCCCCTGTTCTCACCCATCAGCCTCCATCAGCTGCTTCGAAGGTCAGAAGTTTGCTGGCCTGGAGGTAAGAACAGTCAAGCCTTGTGTTGGCATGAGATGGGGACACGGAGGCACAGACCCCGGCATCTGCTGGGGCTGAGAGAGCTGTGCAGCACAGAGGGGCTGTGTAGGGCTGCCACACTGAACTGGGGACCCTCAGGATAGATTCCTTGGGCTAATGCAATCCACTGAGTGACAGGCTGAGATTTCAGCCGCCCTTGCCAACCCACTGGGGTCACAAGGCACCTCCAAGGAGGACTCAGGCACCTCTTCTGAGGTTGGGGCAGGACAAGGTGCTTGAGGCCCGAGTGGACAGACCAAGGAGTTAAACCCCACACAGGCAAGGGTTCAGAATCAGGGCCCTCACACATCCTGCCCCAGACCTCCTAAGCACTCCAGAGTCTCTACACCAGCCCATTGCTGCCCACACCACAGGCAGGAGGAAGCTGTGCCTGTCAGCAAGTGTGCCCAGCCTCCCCTGGATGCTCTGCACAGCCATTCCAGTCATGGTTTCCATGTGAAACACCGCCGCCATGACCCAGTGTTCTACATTTCAGCTCCAGTTTTTCCACCTGCTGGTGGCCTGCGTTCCACATCAGGCTGAGGCCCTGTTGTGCTTATAATTTGGGAGGCTGGAGCTTTGCTCAGTGCCTAGCACACCAACACTCCTGCTTGGGTCTCTGGGCTCCTGCAATCCAGGAGGATGGAGATGGCTGTCCTGACAATGGAGGAGGTGTGTGCCCAAGTGGGGGACAGCAGGTGTGCTGGCAGGGGTTTGGTGGTGGTGTGCTGATGGCTGAGGGGGTGGCACGCTCCTGTTGCATGCTGTGCATGCAGCTGGGGGCACTGGGACTACGAGGCTCCCCCAGGCCTCCACTTGCCTTAAGGCAGGGAAGGGCTCCAGGGTTTTCAGGGCCACCTCATGCAGCCCTGTCTGGCTCCAGGAGGACTCGGTGCAGGGGGCAGGGGCTTGCAGCCAGCGCTCAGCACTGCTTCTCACCCAGCCCTGGGAAAGTGGCAGCGGGTCGGGGGGTGCCAGGGTCACACCACCAAGGCTGTTTCCTGACCCATCCCCATGACTAAGCAGGTTCCTTCCCAGATGCAAGTGAATTCACCATTTCCTTCTCCTGCACCATATGCCAAGCTGTGCCCTAGTTTATGCCACGGTGACCTTGGAACCACAGGCACAGCTACTGAGGCAGGCCAGGGGCTGCCATAGCCAGCTCAGGGAGGCATCCTCCAGCACCGGCCTCAGCAGAGCTCCTGCAACCCAGGCCCATAGCAACCCATAGCTTTAATATGATTTCATATAGCTCCCGCTTGTTTTTGTTGCTGGAACCCAGAGCCGGGGAGTTTAATCCTGCTGTTTCTCTGCTCTGTTCTCCCCATCACAATGCAGCTGCTCTAATTCAATAGCACTTACCCCTGCCTTGCATGGGCAGGACTCCCTGAATGCCACTTGCCTGTGCTACCTTCCCCGCCACAATTACCCTTTCCCAGGGTCTGTCACTCTGTGGGTGCGGCAGTTCCCTCCATCTCTGTGGTGTCCCAGGGGACAGAGGTTGGTACCCTCTGCCTCAGCCCCGAAGCAGTATCCAATTGCCACAGGATGAGGACAGGCTTGAGGGGCAGAGGTGATTCCCATCTCTGTGCTTTTGGCACTGTTAAGGAGCGTGGCTAAGCTCAGTGGGACTGAGGGGCTGCACAGACACAGAGCTCAGAGGTAGGCAGCTATCAGCTCAGGTGCCTCGCTGTCCCAGCAAAGGGGAATCAAAGGCATCTTCAGCTCTCCCTCAGGCAGTTCCCTGCCTCTCTCTTCTCCTCTCTGCTGGGTCAGAGCTTTTCATTCATCAGTCACCGGCCTCACTGCAGAACGGCTGTTATTAGGGCAGCACGTGCCTCCTCCTGCCTGTACATTTGTGCCCGGAGAGCATCATCTCCAGCAGACCCTGACTCACTCAGTGATGACCCTCTGCCCCTGCCATCCTTCTCCTTTCCAGTACATCCATGGATTTCTTCTGTCCTCCCTTTAACAGCAGCAAGAGGGAGCAGAGTGCCTGAACCAGGTCTGGTACTTGGTACATTCAGCAGGGATGAAGCAGCACAGGGATGGGAGAACAAAGGGCAGGTTTGGATGGCTGGATCCATGCCATCACAACCCCCCTGTACCCTCCTCTCTCATTCACCCCGGCTGGTGGGTGCAGCAGCAGGGAGACAGACAGTGCAAGGAACGAAGGCATGGGGAGGATCCATGATGCCAGCGTGGGCTGAGCCTCCTCAGCCTGCATGCAGGGCTGCCTTCCTCCACCACAGCCACTGGTGGCCAGGGAAGCGGGGGCACATGGACACGGACGGCCACAGCTCCGTCACTCAGGTCACAAAAACTAGCTTTAATGTGATTTCATGTAGCATGAGATGAAGTGGTAACCCAGGGCTCCTACCTGTGAGGATGGAGACACTGTGGAAACAGCTGTCCAGCTTGCCCAGGAGGATGGAGAGGAAGCTGTCAGCAGCCAAGCCGGTCACGTCCCGCGTGCTCTGGTCGTAGACCACCACGTCCTGGTGGTCCTCTGCCTCCACCTGCAGGGGAGCAGCAAAAAACGGGCATCAGAGAAATGGGATGAGCACTGAGGAGGCTGCTGTCCACATCACCATGGGAAGCAAAGCTGAATTTAGCGGTCACACAAGCAGGAAATTCCAGCTCCACACCATTTCCACAAGCTGGTTTTCACCACGAAATGGAGTCTCCATTTCAGTCACGCTGGGGCTCTGCTCCACGTCTACAAGTAAATGTGTCAGTAGAGGTGCCCACTGGCACACTCTCACCAACTATGAGTGATTTTGAGCATCCCACTCAAAGGAGGGTCACTCCTCCCCATCACCCACCCTCAGCTTGCTGTTATTTAACTGCATCCCAGAAATCACCTCGACTTCCACCACTTCCTTCCCAGCCAACTTTTACCCTCAGACTCTCCTCCTCAGCCTGGCTGGTGTCACAGGGACAAGAGCACAGGGATTTGGGAGTGGTTCTGCAGCAGGGGTGCTCTCTGCACAGCCCTTACGCTGTGGCTGGACTCAATGGGGCTAGTCAACAGCTCTTCAGGGCTCAGCCTGGGGACACCATGCCTAGCACAGTAAGACCTCTGTAGGCACTATGCCTCACCCCAGATCTGTAGATCACCCTGAAGGGATGAAGGAGAGGGAAAATCTCTTCTTTTGTTTTGTGGATATTCAGGGTAATGCTCATTCTTCCTTTTGTAATGAGTGCTGGGGCCAGCACACTGCAGGGATAAACCAGAAAGAAGCAAAGGAGCTCCTGGGCTGCTTTCACGTTATTTTACATGCCACAAACCACACCTAGCTGCCCACCACTGCAGGGATAAACTGGGGCAGGTGAGAAGGTGGGATAATCTGCAGGCAGGCAAATGTCTGCAGGAAGGAGTACCCCCACGCTCGGTGATGACTGGATTGCAATGAGAGCACTCCCACACCTACCTGAAGGTCCATGCACTAAAAGAAGGTAAAAATCCTCACAGAGGCAGAGCTCAGTTCATCTGCTGAAGAACTGGGTGTATGGCACACACCTGTCCTGAGAGTGCCTGCCCTTCCAGCCGGCGGGGTAAGGCACATTCATCACATCATGGGAAGAGGGGGAAGCAGCAGCAAGCAGGGAAGGAGGGAATGCATGCAAGCTGCTCTCTTCTCAGCTAGTGCTGGACCCACTCCATGTTAAGCCCTCTCCAAAATGTCTTTAGGAGACCACTTGAATGAGGTACCACTCATGGAAACCCACCTCACTTTGCTGTCTCACTGCCAAGCCGCATCTCACCACCAGAGCAGATTCGCTCAGGGTTGCCATTATTATTAATGCTGCTTTCACACCCTGCTGCAGGTGCTTCCCTGCTCAGCAACGTGAGCACCATCCAAATAAAACTGCAGGGAGCGCTGATTTAGCTGAGCTCATCACATCTCTGCGCCGCAGCGCAAGGACAGCCCCGCACCAACAGAAATCCCTGTCGGGGCACCACGTGCAGCTGTGCACGAGGAAGGGGGGCTCAAAGGACCCACCTGTCCCCAGCCTGCCACCAGGGACTGGCCCCACGGCTCAGCAGGATGACAGGAGGCATGAAAGGGCAGGGTAAGAGGGAAAAGGACATGGGAATTCTAAAATAAGACACTGAAAAATGACTGAAGCCAGTTGAGATGAGGATCTACCCCAGCATCTTTTCCTCAGCCAATCCTGATGCAGGACTTTTGTGGCAGGTCATCCAAGCACAGCTGGAGGAAAACACGGTGGCTGACAAGCTGGTTCAGGTCCTCAGCAGCTGCCTAGCTCTTCAAGGCTCCCTAGCACATCCTGAAGACCCAGTTCTCACCCTGAAGCCCCATGCCAGCCAAAACATCTTCCCCCAAAAGCACAGTGAGGCAGGAACTACTCTGTGGTGGGGCAGAGGCTCAGCCCAGCTGCACAGTCCAGGCTGAGGAGAGATACCAGCCCTGGCAGAGCAGCGTCATGCCACAATAGAATTTGGTGTTCCCTCTGCACGGGAAGGCTTTGTCTGGGTCATTACCACAGGGCTGCTGAGCGACGGCAGAGATGTGCAACACGGTTTACATCTTATTAAAGTTATAAGGTTTCACGCAACGTAAACGCCAAACAAGAGCTGGCTTCGCATGGCCTGGCTGCAAAAAATAAATACCTGGCTTGCTGGGGTGAGGATACCTGCAGGAAGGTCCCAAGGAGCCTTCATGGAGCATACAAGGAGCCCGCACCGGCATCCTGGCTCCTCACCACACAGGGAAGTAAGACAGCGACATTTAATCAAGCACATGGGTCTTCCATAAATCTCATGCCCTCCTGAAATGCCCCATCTCTGGCCTTAAGCATAGGGAGGATAAAAGCTAATGGGCAGAGGAGGAAGGTAAAGCTGAAGAGATGCTCCATACTAGATTCCTGCTTCTGCCAGGTGTTGACACAGGACAGGGACACAGCTGGCAACAGAGGTATCCTTCTGAGAAGCAACATGGGGCTTGCTGTCACTCCAAGACTGCTGAAGTAACCCCAGCCACCACCCTCCACACAGGGCCCCCACATCCATCTAGCAAGGGAAAGCAGAGCCAAGATGCAGCAAGTCTTTTGGATACAGGTAGATGTTGAGTGGGGCTTGCAAACCAATGCATGCCTTTGAAAAGCTGCTGGCCCACTCCACTGCTGGAGGAGTTCCCCAAGAACAAACCTCCTCCCTGCTAAAATCCTGCCTGGAGGGAAATGACCAGCCTGAAGCCACGACCACCTGGCCAACAGCTCCAACCAAACCCCGGCTGAGACCATTGATTCATCGCCTTTTGCCCAGCCCTGTGCCCCTCCATCACCATCCCCAGCTCTGGCTGAGGTAACTCCCATATGGACATCAGTCCCCAGCACTGCGTGGTTCAACACAGCTTGGGTCCCAGCTCCGTCTCTCCCCAGCTGCCAAGCAGGGATAATGATGCTCTACAGGTGACCCAGGCTAAGATAAGAGCGAGCTATTATTATTATCCCAATTACTACTGACATCTCACTAGCATATTGTTTCAAAACACAGTGAACCACCCCACTGAAATAACAGGGCTTCCATCAACATAAAGAGCAGCCAGGCACAAGGCTCAAGAATAAGCCCCGGCTTTCCCTCAAGCAAAACAGCTGCTTGCAGAGCCAAGCTCCTAATGCAAATAAATAAATATTCCCATCACCTGAAGAGACCCTTCTTATGCCTCAAAGCATGGCTGTAGTTGCTGTGGAGATTGCTCCATTTCAGGAAGCGAGAAGTGGTTGAGAGGTGGACTTTCCAGGGGGATCTTGAAGAAGTAATTTTCAGCATTTCCCTAAAGTAATGCTAGTGAAACGCCCAAGCAGGAATTCCCCATAACCTACGCTCTCCAAACTTCACTGAGGAGCTGAATTATTCCAGTTGTTATCAGAATTCATTATTGTGAGAGTTTATTACTGTCAGCACTGGGAGAAGGGTTCAAAACCAACCAGCAGCAGTTATGTTGATACCATTTTTGTGTGGAGGGAAATAACTGTGAGAGGAATTGCTGCTGCAGCTTTTCCCAGATTGGGCACTGTGGGAAGATGGTCCACACCAGGGGCTTGGGGAGCAGTGGCTGTGGCAGCTGCCACAATTATAGGATCATAGGCGTAACTCATTGAAAAAAAGAAAGGGATTTTAAATGTCTCCATTTCTTCTTTCCTCACAAATGGTCCTTTCCTTGCTCCAAAAAAAGCCATGAGCTGCTGTTATCCCACAGCATCACTCCAAACTGCAGCCCACAGAAGCATTGCTAACGCTTCCTTAACGGCAACATGGAAAAGAGGAGAGTAAGCACTGGGAAAAGCAAATTAGACAAATTCTCCCATCCCCCGCTGCCAGCACGCAGGCAGGAGGAGCGGAGCTGGCGGCCAGGTGGGGTTTGCCCAAATGCTTTGCCCTGTGTCAGCCCGTCTCTTTCCCCAAAAGGCGAACACCACCCTTATTATGGCCGGGATGGGGAGAGCAGGCGCAGCTCCCTTCGCTGGAGGCGAGGAGGAGCGGGACGAGGCGAGCACTCGGGGCTGCCCTTTGGCTGCCCGGGCAGCCCTGCGCCGCTGCCATCCGCCTTTGTCTCGGCCGGCCGGGAGCAGGAAACAGGAGGAGGGCGGGAGGCCCGTCAGGAGGAATAATGGGGCCGGACAATCGCGTACTGATGTCACCCTTCCTGCCATCTGCTCCCCACGCCAGCCGTGCCCCCCGCCCCCCGCTCCGGTGCGGGGAGCCAGGGGCAGAGCAGGGCTGGGGGATGTTGACCAGAGGAGGCAAAGGAGGCAGGGAAATGACACGGGGTATCAGAGGTCTAAATCAGCTTTCAGCGTCCCCTCCTGAGCATCTGTGCACCTCGAGGCAGCAGATCATATTGATTTCTGGGGGTCCCAAAATACAGTCTGACTGAAATGGGAGGCGGGGAGGAGAAAGGGCGAGAAGAGAGTTCATCACCTCAAAACGCAAACACACAAGTGCGTGCACAGAAAGGCTTGGACACCCCAAGCCACAGCCACCACCCCTGCCTTATGCCAGCTGAGAACAGGGCAATGATCCCCCCCCAGTGCCCCCCCTCCAGCTTCCCAGGACAAGTGGCTTAACCTCTCAAGGGTGTCCTGGAGCTTAATTAATTCCTGGGCTGCATGTGTCGGGAGAGCCAGCAAGCGGTGGGCATGGCAGGGGCTGTGCAGAACGGCAGCAGCGGGGACATGCAGCCTCCTGCCCACGGGTGTGCCAGGAAGGATTTCAGCCGCATGGAAAAGAGAAGCAAAAAAGGCATTAAAGACGATGGCACCGCCTCTCTCCTCTTCCTCTAGCATCCCTGGTTACAATCACTTCCCCAGCCGGTACGTGGAACATTATGCAATGATCCAGGAGCCGGGAGAAAACCATCCTTGTAAGCTCCTTCTATGGGGACAGAGCAGGGAATGCCAGGAAGGACCAGCCGGCCCCACTGCTCCACTGCAGCTGGCCAGCCGCAGGTTTGCGGGCATCAGCTGATGTTAACTCTTCCCTGCTTCCCCCTTCCCCGTCACCCTCCTCTTCTTCCTCCCCCTTGCGCATCGCTTGCTCTGCGGCTGCCGCTCCACGTGACAGCGGCCACTGCAGAGGTGACCCTCGCCGGGAGGAGCGCGGCCGCTCCGCTCTCCTCGGAGCTTGCGGAAAACTGATTATTCTGCTTTATTCTCCGGGGGATTTAGGAGCAGCTAAAGCCGTTCAGGAATCAGTCTCCGCAATCCCCTCCAAAGCGCCCGGCCCAGAGCGTGAGGGGAGCAGATTGGAGCGAGCGGCCCCCCCGCGCTGCCCGTCCCCTTGATCCCGCGGGGTGATGTCACCGGCAGCCAATGCGGACAGCGGCGGCTCCCCGGGCTGGCGGCGGGGAGCAGGGGGGGACACCACGCAGATGGCTCCAGCTGGGCCCAGCATTTGATTAATCGCCTGAATTACCCTCGCTTTGCCATAAAATTACAAGGCGGGAGCGGGGGAACGGTGGGAGCGAGCTGGAGGAGGGTGGGCTGCGATGGCGAAGCCCCCTTGCCATGGTGAGCCGTCCTCGGGCTCGTCCCGCCGCCGCTGCGGGACCCACCCGGGCAGCTCCTGGCT